CCATTTTATAGCACTTTTTCAATCGACAACTTTTACAACTCTTTCTCGATTTCTTATCAATTAAACAGTTATCATCTGAACGACATTTTAGTACCTAAAATACATTATAGTTAAATACCTATTATTTACACATTTATTTAATATTATTTATTTATTTACTTCATTTTGAAGGGCAGTTCGTCGGAAAAATACTTTACACGACTCGCAAGTAATTACACCAAAGTTTCGCCCTGTACAGTTTAGTACAGTAAACATTATTACAAATTAAGCATTTCAAACAATTTAACTAAATTTCAAATTAAATGCAAATACATATCATACCGACGGCTTTGTCGCCACAAATTAAGCATTTAGGGCTTTGTCGAGGCATTCAATTGGTATTTATTAATCAAAATTTTAACCCAAATATTATTTATTTATAATTAATGATGACTTCCTTAATAATTCTGCATTTAAGTAATTTTTAATATCAAAATAGTTATTGAATTTTGGTCATTATCTCACTTATATGATAACAGACACAGTATCTCAATTAAAATAAAATAATATTTCATAATTCACTTAATCTGAAGTGCAAAAGTACACTTTAAGTATTATAAAACAATAAATACTCTACCACAATTAGTGAAATTTTTATGTACATATTCTTTATTTCTATATAATTTAAGCAACATTTACAGGTATATCAAAAAGTATTTCTTTAAGAATAGGTCCAAAGGAATCCAAAAATATTTCAAAACCAATCTTAACCTCAAAATCACAAATGATTCGTAAATCCATTAATGAATTCATTAGTTTCGATAGTATTGCCTGTGTTTCACAGTCTGTCCGATACTTTAAATACAGATAGCGTTGGAGTAAATAGATATACAATTGCTGTTCGGATCTAAATAATAATAATTTTGATCATGACAACTTAAATCACATTTACCCTATTGAAATGAATTCATATTTATCAGGGTAACTTACTTAACCACATCTCTATGTATAAGGTTGGGTCGATTCGGGTTAAAAAGTATTATCGCTGTCATCTGTTATGCAATATAATACATAGAAAAAGGTTATACAGTATTAAGCAGTGTAAATTTGTAAATAACATTTTATTATACCAAATCTAATATTACAAAATCCTGTTTCCATTCGGGGATTACTTTACGAAAATAATCTTTATAATAAGCGTATAAATCCATGTATTTTGGCTTTAAAATGTCTAAATTAAATAGACCGGCACTTGGATTATGCGAATTCTGCAATAATAGCATTTAATATAATTATTAAATTTTAATAAAATAAGTGAATAAAATGATAATTTCTCTTAAAATTGTAGTACAAACCCAAACCCACATCCAGTTCTCCGTATTGATGTCAAAGTGGAGGGAATATCGGAGTATAAGTATCTCGAGGCACCCGTACTTAAAAAGTGCCATTTGATCGTTGAAACACAAATTGTTAAATGAGTCCAGGTGTTTGGTAAATTGTATCAGGTCCACTGTGTCATTGTCCATCATAGGGTTGGCCACGTTATTTACTTCAGAGAGACTTTTAAACTCAATGATAGTTTGTGTACGAAATGACTTGTATTTGAATACATTGGAGGCTCTGAACAACTCCGACAGCCGTTTGGACTCCAATTCATTAAAACTTTTGTAGTCATGTATTCGCGTGAACACCGGTGTGAAGGGTACTTTTGGTGACATTTCATGAATATTATCGATAATATAATTTACTTGATTATCAGTGATAAAAATGTCTAAATTGTTAATTAACTCGACAAGTTTACGATCACTGGTTATAGTATTTTCAATAATTACTTTTAACATATTTGGGTCTGAATTTGATTTTTTGAATGTTTGACACAAAGTTGTGTCAGTATTTGATTCACAACTTCCTTCCGACATATTATCATCAGATTCTCGACTTCTTATCAATTCCTGTAAAAAATGATAAAAATCTGTAATAAATTGTATGAAGTTTGACAAATTTTAAACCAGTTACTTTTCTCATTCCCATTTCGTAGCATTTATTTATACGACAACTCTTACAACTTCTGCGAGTAATCTTATTGAGCAGACAATTGCCGTGTGAACGACATTTCCCCACCTAACGTATCAAGTACATTATTGCAAAATTAATTTTATAACATAGTTAAGTTGATAATAAAATTAATCGTCTAGCTAATTGTATATTTTACTTGGTTTTGCAGTGCATTCCTACGGAAAAATACTTTACACGACTCGCAAGTGATGGCACCGTAATTACGACCTGTATTTAAATATGATATAAATTAATAATTTGACGCCAATTATAAAACAAATCAAATTATTTGTCTTAGACTTACCCACTGATTTGTCGCCACATATATCACAATTCATTTTGCTTTAATGCAATCACTTTAAAGTGCACTTCAATATAATTTAATAAATTGTTTATAAATATTGAAGCCTATGTATGTACCGGTAGAATTTTTAATATGTTTACCAAAACTGATAACAAAGTTACCAAGGAGAGATCACATATGAAGATTAAGTTTATTCGACATTAAATTATGTAAGTTGTATAAAACTGTATAAGTCATGAACGGTACAGTATATTTTACTAATAATTTTCCTAACTTTAAAGTTAGAAAATAATCAGAATAGTTTATCTAATAAGTAATTTATATTATGGTGTACAGTATTTTTTATAGCCTATTTTTGTACATTGTAAAACTTTTGTGCAAACAAGTTGTTTAAAAGTGAATTCCTAATGAAAACTTTAAAAAACTTACAAATGATGGCACTGTAATATTACAATAATCACTTGTTGCCAAACTGTAAACAAATAATTTAAATATATTGTATTATGTTACTTTATTCAATAAAGTTTATTGTCACATTGCCATGCTAATACTGTAATACTGTAATAGTGAAAGAAATGAATTTTAACGTAACGATAAAATCTCAGTGTATAACTTTATATTTAAATTAAATTACACTTTTAATATTTATGTTAACAGTAAAGTACCAAGAATATTACGCACTCGGAAGTCATATGAGATTAAACTTTTTGTATTGATCTCCGATTTGCAATGAATAGTGAATTTTGAGGAAAACTTTATTTCATTTTTTGTAATAAGTTTTGAATTTTAAATAAAAATGTTTGCAAAAAGTATTTTATTTGTCAATCCAATGAATGTTTGGTCAAAAAGTGTGAAAAGGTTCAATCTCTCGACAATCTGTGATAATATCATCAAAAGAGTTGAATTCAAAACTTGTGGTCAATTGTATAAGAAGTTGAAGACAACTAATCCAAGACTTTATGCAAACAGTCCTTCCGATGGACTGCCAGTGAGTGTTGAATATGTGGACACTTTTGCTCATAAAAACTCTTCAAACAGTAGTCATATTAAGACAATTGTTGCCATCCATGGTGTCCCCGGTTATTACCATCACTTCCAAGACTTGTATCACTACTTCGGTGGCAATGATAGCACCGTTCGAGTGATTGCTCCAAATATGCCGGACTTCGGACTCACGCGACAGTCGATGGCTTTCTGGCACTCAAACCACGAAAGATCTCAATTCATACGCGACTTCTTGAAAGCCATAAACGTCTCGACCATTGATTGTCTGATCAGTCATTCCGCTGGAATTCATCCCATTTCCAGCATTTGGTCACAACCTGAAGACCTCACCATTGGATCTGTTTGTCTGCTATCACCACAATCTCTATGGTTGTCTAAGTGGTTCTTCAGATTAGCCGCGTTTTGGGCCAAATTTGCCGAAACGAGGGTTGGAATCAAATTCATGGATACCTTAAGACCTGATCTGATTGCCCACAAAATGGGTTATCCCATGGCGTAAGGGACACCATGGATGGCAACAATTGTCTTAATATGACTACTGTTTGAAGACTTTTTATGAGCAAAAGTGTCCACATATTCAACACTCACTGGCAGTCCATCGGAAGGACTGTTTGCATAAAGTCTTGGATTAGTTGTCTTCAACTTCTTATACAATTGACCACAAGTTTTGAATTCAACTCTTTTGATGATATTATCACAGATTGTCGAGAGATTCAACTTTTGCACACTTTTTGACCAAACATTCATTGGATTCACAAATAAAATACTTTTTGCAAACATTTTTATTTAAAATTCAAAACTTATTACAAAACATTAAATAAAGTTTTCCTCAAAATTCACTATTCATTGCAAATCAGAGATCAATACAAAATGTTTAATCTCATGTGACTTCCGAGTGCGTAATATCCTTGGTACTTTAACAACAAATATGAAAAGTGTAATTTAAACTGAGATTTTATCGTTACTTTAAAACTAATTTCTTAGTTACAGTATTAGCCAGGCAATGTGACAATAAAGTAACATAATATATTTAAATTATTTGTTTACAGTTTGGCAACAAGTGATTATTTTAATATTACGGTGCCATCATTTGTAAGTTATTTAAAGTATTTCATTAGGGTTTCACTTTTAAACAACTTGTTTGCGCAAAAGTTTTACTAATGTAAAAACAGGATATAAAAAATACTGTACACCATAATATAAATTACTTATTAGATAAAAAACTATTCTGGTTATTTTCTAACTATTAAAGTTAGGAAAATTATTAGTAAAATATACTGTACCGTTCATGACTTATACAGTTTTATACAACTTTCATAATTTAATGTCGATTAAACTTAATCTTCATATGTGATCTCTCCTTGGTAACTTCGCTATCAGTTTTGGTAAACATATTAAAAATTGTATATTCATAGGCTTCAATATTTATAAACAATTTATTAAATTATATTGAAGTGCACTTTAAAGTGACTGCTTTAAAGCAAAATGAATTGTGATATATGTGGCGACAAATCAGTGGGCAAGTCTAAGACAAACAATTTGATTTGTTTTATAATTGGCATCAAATTATTAATTTATATCATATTTAAATACAGGTCGTAATTACGGTGCCATCACTTGCGAGTCGTGTAAAGTATTTTTCCGTAGGAATGCACTGCAAAACCAAGTAAAATATACAATTAGCTAGACGATTAATTTTATTATAAACTTAACTATACTATAAAATTAATTTTGCAATAATGTACTTGATACGTTAGCTGGGGAAATGTCGTTCACACGGCAATTGTCTGCTCAATAAGATTACTCGGAGAAGTTGTAAGAGTTGTCGTATAAATAAATGCTACGAAATGGGAATGAGAAAAGTAACTGGTTTAAAATTTGTCAAACTTCATACAATTTATTACAGGTTTTTATCATTTTTAAAGGAATTGATAAGAAATCGAGAATCTGATGATAATATATCGGAAGGAAGTTGTGAACCAAATACTGACACAACTCTGTGTCAAACATTCAACAAATCAAATTCAGACCCAAATATATTAAAAGTAATTATTGAAAATACTATAACCAGTGATCATAAACTTGTCGAGCTAATTAGCAATTTAGACAGTTTTATCATTGATAACCAAGTAAATTATATTATCGATAATATTCATGAAATGTCACCAAAAGTACCCTTCACATCGGTGTTCACGCGAATACATGACTACAAAAGTTTTAATGAATTGGAGTCCAAACGGCTGTCGGAGTTGTTCAGAGCCTCCAATGTATTCAAATACAAGTCATTTCGTACGCAAACTATCATTGAGTTTAAAAGTCTCTCTGAAGTGAATAACGTGGCCAACCCTATGCTGGACAATGACACAGTGGACCTGATACAATTTACCAAACACCTGGACTCATTTAACAATTTGTGTTTCAACGATGTTTACCGTGAAAAATTCATGCCCACGGAGCTCTATGAATATGAGGCTATAAGCCTCCACTTTGACATCAATACGGAGAACTGGATGTGGGTTTGGGTTTGTACTACAATTTTAAGAGAAATTATCAGTTGATTCACTTATTTTATTAAAATTTAATAATTATATTAAATGCTATTATTGCAGAATTCGCATAATCCAAGTGCCGGTGTATTTAAT